AAAAAAAAAAAAGAGACTTACCGTCTCGGAAACTCACAGGCGCAGGTCTCCCTGTCCTACTGGGTCACTCCGAGTCAGCATGGACTTAATGGCAGTGAGTGATAACGGAATTAGAATAATCCCCCTTCCAGGGAGAAGTGCAGAACTGACTGTAATGCCGCACAATTGTGCGCCCCTCCTCCCCAGGGAGAGAACAACAATAACATGGACAAAGAGAGGCAGTGGACGCTGTAAGATATGAAAACAATAATAATTTATCATTTATCAGGGGTCCATGAGGGTGGGATGGTCTGGGAGGGAGGGGAAAAATGAGGAGCTGATACCCAGGGCTCAAACAGATAGAAAATATTTTGAAAATGGTGAAGGCAACATATGTACAAATGTGCTTAATACAATTAACGTATGGATTGTTATAAGAGCTGTAAGAGCCCCCAATAAAATGATTTATTTATAATTTTTAAAATCCCCCTTACAAAATGAAGTTAGTCTAATGTACTGAATGCAGTCTATGGAATTTTTGTAACTCACTCCTACATTGCTCAAAAGCAGACGACAGGTGGAATGCAGGTATCACCCAGCAGACAGGTGGAATGCAGGTATCACCCAGCAGGGCCAGACAGTGCTGGCTGGTTGTTGTTGCTAGGTGCTGTCGAGTCAGTTCTGCCCCGCAGCGACCCATGCACAACCCCCATGCACAGCCGAAGGAAACCGGGCTCCCAGTCCCACACCATCCTCACAATCATCCTCCTCTTTGAGACCATGATTGCGCCCATTGCCACTCCATCTCGTCGAGGGCTTTCCTGTTTCCGCTGTCCCTCTCCTTTACCAAGCATGATGTCCTTCCCCAGAGACTGGTCTTTCTGGGTGTCTAAAATATGAGATGCAGTCTCACCATCCTTGCCTCTAAAGAGCATTCTGAGCATCACAGCAACACAGGAGCCACCACTTCTGACAAACTGAGAGACCAGTGGTGGGAAAACTCGGAGCGTCTCTTTTTTTTCACCTGATAGTGATTAAACACTGGGCCCTGCTGTCCAGTTAGCCAACAATGACACCCAACAACTGGCCTAAGATCAAAAGAACCTTATTGCTTTGCTTGCTTGCAACATCTGGTTCCCTGTGGTTACCCTGACACCTGTATTTTCAGTTCCTATCTGTACCAGTGTACATCCTCTGGTCTAGCCAGACTGGCTCATCTTCTCCCCGAGACCCCTCTGCAAGGGGATCTCCAGTGGCCTACAAATGGGCTTTGGGTCTCCACTCCGCACTCCCCCCTCATT